GGGTTTGATCCTCAGCACTGCATAAGTATTTTTTTAAATGAGCAGATGTTATATTTTTAAAAAGAAAGAAAGAAATCACATCCTGACACTTTTACTATCCATTGCAAAGGGCACGGTGCTCTGGGCGTGTATTGGTTCCCTGTGTGCCAGTGCCAGGCGGAAGCTGAGCTCAGCACTCAGGGACCCAGATGAGAGGGAGGTCAGCCCTGACTGTGCAGCAATGATGGGAATGGCCCGTACCTGCACCACCTCGGACCTGAGCCGACCATGGTGACAGAGCACCTAAAAAGTACCAATGCATAACCGAATGTAACACTCGCACTAGGATTTAAAGACAGTACAAAACTGGGCCTGGTCGTGCATGCCTGTAATCCCTGTGGCTCAGGAGGCTGAGGCAGGAGGATGGTGAGTTTGAGGCCAGCCTCAGAAACTTTGTGAGACCSTGTCTCAAAAACAAAGAATAATAAGAGCTGGCTCCGTGGTAGAGTGCCTCTGGGTTCAATCCCTATTTACCCCCCCACCCCCCCAAAAAAAACACTTTGTGCAAAAGAAGAATGTGGGTCAGTGTGATAGGCCTGTAATTGCAGCTACTCAGGAGGCTGAAGCAGGAGGATTGCTTGAGCATAGTGGTTCAAGGCCAGCCTGGACAACATAGTGAGACCCATAGCAACATAAAATATCTCGTTGATAATTTTTAAATTTATTGCATGCTAATAAATTTTAGACATTGTGTAAARTAAATACATTTTTAGATGAACTAACTTGTTTCTTTTTACTTTTAAAAATATGGCTGTAGCTCAGTGGGACAGCACTTGCCTATAGCATGTGTGAGGCCCTGGGTTCAACCCCCAATGTGGCAAAAAATAAAGAGAGAATAAAAAATGTAAAAGCCAGGTACAGTGGCACACGCCTGTAATCCTACCTTGGGAGATGGAGGCAGGAGGTTCCCAAGTTCAAGGTCAGCCTGGGCCACTTAGCGAGACCCTGTTTCAAAATAAAAAGGGCTGGGATGTATCTCATGGTAGAGTCTCCTGGGGTTCAGTCCCCAGTGCCACAAAAATTAATACATGAATAAATACATACAGACCTACATAAAGGAACGGCTCTGGGGAGCACTGAATTCTAAACGAGACTCACGCTGCTTTTCTGGGGGACGTGGTAATGGACGTTTCTGATGCCCACCGAACACCAGGCAGTGGACGTGTTTCTCCTGGTTCGGGGGACGGTCACATTTTACACAGATCTGTCTCCTGGCATTATATCACTTTTTTACAAAAATCAGCCCGATGTGCCTCAGCCCCTGGGAGTCTCTGGGCCAGAGGAGCCGAGAGCTGTGTGTGCTTCGAGCTCCCGCAAAGCCACKGTGGGTGGCTGCCAGCAGACGGGGTCGTGGTGAGCAAGCGTCTCTAGTGCCACTGTGCGTGGGGACTTTCCAAGGTTTCTCAATTCAGTGCTCACCAGCCCCTGAGCCCCAAAACCACCATCCTTCTTGAGTTGGCCTTGRTGTGGATGAAAACCAGCCCTTCAGAGAGACCATCCCTCAGGACCCTGTGGCCATCATGACTATGTAAATCTGTACCCTAAAATGACATGGGTTAAGCTTTCGTTATGTGTGGGTTGGACTCTTGATGTCACAGAGGCAGATCAGTGGGGGCTCAGAGAGGGGGAGGAGCCGGCCCCGCATCACACAGCAGTGCTCTTCCCAGAATCCCCTGAGGTCGAGGAAAACAGATGAAATAAATGTGATATGATTTTATGCCGTGATAAACCACACAAGAATGTTATTTCATCTCCCAGGACTGCAATGCCTATTTGTCACAAATCAAACAGAGAGGTTGGTTTCCGTTCTAAGTGCACTCAGGTACCTTATAAAATGGTGATTAATTGGGATAATTTTTCAAATTAGTGATCCAGCATTCCGGGAATCAGAATGTGTTCCTTTTTGATTCACCAAACGAAGCCAAAACTGCTCATGTCTCTTAAGTGGTAAACCGTTCCCACTTCCCACCAGACAAATCCTGGGAAATAAAGAGGGATCTTTCCTTTTTATTTATTTATTTTTTTACAGTGATTTCCCTAGGTGTGGACATTCAGATATTTTTCTTTCTTAAGCTACAAACATGTGTTTTTAAAATTTTTTTTTTCTGGTACCAGGGATTGATCCCAGGGGGACTCCATCACTGGGTTTGATCCTCAGCACTGCATAAGTATTTTTTTAAATGAGCAGATGTTATATTTTTAAAAAGAAAGAAAGAAATCACATCCTGACACATCCCCAGCCCTATTTTGGATTTTATTTAGAGACAGGGTCTCACTGAGTTGATTGGTGCCTCGACGTTGCTGAGGCTGGCTTTGAACTGGCGATCCTCCTGCCTCAGCCTCCTGAGCCRCTGGGATTACAGGCCTGCACCACCGCGCCCAGCACCCGTGTTTACTTTAACAAGATATAGACAACCGAGTTCTAGCTGCTTTAGAAGACATTGCCGTTTTGCAGAGATGGGGAAAGCAGAGCTTCCTCTTATGGTTCTCCTGGGCTGGCTTCTCAGCAGATACGCGCACCCATTTTGAGAAAAAAATAATGAAATGCCCCTCCACTGTTACAGTAAGTTTTGAATCCAGTCAGGCAAATGTGTTTTCTTTGAGCATCCTTAAATTAACACGGCAGCAAAGTCTGTGAGCTCTACTTCTTTTTAAAAATTTTTGATTTGTTCTTTTTAGTTATACATGACAGTGAAATGTCTTTGGACATAGCATACACACATGGAGTGTAACTTCCCATTCTGGTGGTTGTACTTGCTGTGGAGTTGCCCTGGTCATGTGTTCCTATATGACCCTAGGAACGTTAGGTCTGGTTCATTCCACTGTCTTTCCTACTCCCATCCCCCCTCCCTTCCCTTCACTCCCCTTTGTCTAAYCCTGTGGACTTCTTACCCGCCCCGCCAGTGTGTTAGCATCGCATCTCAGAGAACATTCGACCTTTGGTTTTGGGGGATTAGTTTATTTCACTTAACATAGTCTCCAGCTCCATCCATTTACCAGCAAATGCCATAATTTCATTCTTCTTGAAGGCTGAGTGATATTCCATTGTGTACATGTACCACATTTTCTTTATCCATTCATCTGTTGAAGGGGCTGTAGGTTAGTTCCCTAGCTTAGCTATTTTGAATTGAGCTGCTATAAACACCTGATGTGGCTATGTCACTGTAGTATGCTGTTTTTAAGTCCTTTGGATATAGACCGAGGAGTGGGGAGACTGAGTCAAATGGGGGTTCCGCTCCAAGTTTCCTGAGGAATCTCCATACTGCTTTCCAAAGTAGTTGCACCAACTTGCAGTCCCACCAGCAATGTGAGAGTGAACCTTTCCCCCACATCCTCGCCAATATTTGTTCTTGCTTGTATTCTTGATAATTKCCATTCTAATTGGAGTGAGATGAAATCTCTGTAGTTTTAATTTGTGGTTTTAAKTTGCATTTCTGTAATTGCTATTGATGTTGAACATTTTTAAAATATATTTGTTGACTGATCATATGTCTTCTTCTGTGAAGTGTCTGTTTGGTTCCTTTGCCCATTTTTCGATTGGGATCTTTGTTTTTGGGGGGTTAAGTTTTTTGAGTTCTTTRTATCCTGGAGATTAATGCTGTATCTGAGATGCAGGGGGCAAAGATTTTCTGTGAGCTCTACTTCTAAAACATTCCCTAAATCCTTCCACTTCCTACCCCTTTTAAAGCCACCCCCTGCACCACGCTGCCATCATCTCGGGGCTGGTCGACCACCACAGTCTTCGACGGGGCTCCCTCCAGTCCATACTTCACCCAGCAATCAGTGGGAAGATTTGAAGCAAAAATTGTACCCCAGAGTTGTCCTGCCAGAAACCTGCCATCATTTCCCACCTTCCTTTGAATAAAATCCAAACTCCTCATGGCCACCCGAAGATGTGGCAGCCTTGTCACGGAGCCTCCTTTCCCCTGCCCTGGAGATGTAGCTGCACTGACCTGCTTTCACAGCCGCCTTCTTCCAAACACATTCCAGCCCCAGGCCTTCTTCCAAACACATTCCAGCCCCAGGGCCTTTGCACTTGCTTGCTATTCTCTCTGCCTGGAACACTATTCCCTAAGAGTGTCATATGACTAGCTCCTGGGTCATTCCGACCCCAGGTCCAATATCACCTCCTAAGAGGGGCCTTCCCTGACCACACTGTCTACAGGACCCTGTCCAGTTGTTCCCTCTGACATGCTCTCTTTTTACTTCTCATTCCACCAACTAAATATGGTGTTATTTTCACTGTTGACTTGTTTAYTAACTGTGTCTCCTGTTCTTCAGTTGAGTTCCATAAGAATGTGGATTTGCCCAATTTGTTTAGGGCTTAGAAAAGTACTCAGTAAATGTTTATTGAGTAAATGAATGAATGAAAAATTAAGTCAGAGAGAGAGAGAGACAGAGACAGAGAGAGAGAGAGAGAGGGAGGAGAGGAGCCAGGGAGGGAGAAGGCGGGAGGGAGGGTCCTAAACCAAATAGAGAATGACACAGGGATATGATCCCTTGGTTACTGCTTAGCTGGATCATTGGGGCCACGTTATGTGACCTCACCTTTGTGATTTATTGCACAATAATGGTCCAGTTTTACTTGACTCTAGTCCCTCAGTCCAAGGCTGCTGTTTCTCTGTCCGTGTGTCTTCGTGTCCTTCCCACCCCCTGCCAGCAGATTTTATTGTTATCCCCATTTTGCTGRCGAAGAGCTGAGACTGGCTTGGGTCACAGGAGAGTGACAGGTGGGTGTGAGTGAAGCCAGGTGCCGAGGGTCAGCTTGGGCGCGCTGACCAGGAGCCGCAGCGCCCGCCACCCACTGCCCGCCCCGCTGCCCGGCACGGTGGTGTTCCCATTGTCCCCCTGACTTATCCTCTGAGTCCACTCCACAGCCTGCTGGTCCTCGACCAGGTCAGGCAGCATCAGCAGACTCCCCTGCTGGGCTCTGGACAACCTGGGCTCCCTTCTGCCTGCAGGATGGGGTGCATGAAGTCCAAGTTCCTCCGGAATAGAGGCAAGGCCTCCAAGTCTGAGTCCAGCACCAACGTGCAGAGCCCTGTGTACATGCCAGATCCCACGACCCCGATCAAGTTGGTGAGTAGTGGCGGGGGCTGCCGGGCCCGACAGCATCTCTTCCCCAGGCTGTGCAGGGTGTGGTGGGGACGGGGTGGCACTGCCTAGCCATCGGCGGTGCCCATGCTCTCCAGAATACCTCTCCGGATACTTCCCAGGCAAGGACGTCCCTCCCTGTCCTGCAGAGCACCTTGCCCACCAGCGTGACTCCAACAACCAGCCGAGGCGCACCAGCCTGGAGGCTGCAAAGCAGTGACCCCCACCAGACCAGTCCTAGAGCAGCGGTGGTGGCGGCAGTCACCGTAGCATCTGTGTCATGCAAGAATACAGTAGCAGTCGTAGTGCGCCTGGTGGTGGGCATGCAGCAGCAGCAGCGGCAGCAGTGGCAGTAGCAGGCACAACGGTGAATAAGAGGCGCAGCCAAGCTGGCAGGGGGTGCCCACTCCCTGCTGTCCAGTCTCGGTGGACCAGGCTGTCCTGTGCGCTTTACAGAATTAACGCGCTGAGTTCTCACAACAGGCCTGCTGTAGGTGACCATCGGTACCTGCCCATTACAGCTGGGCGCAGAGATCAGCCAGCTCGCCTAGGGCCTCCCCTAGGGGTGGGGCGGGACTGGTCTGCACCGAGTAGGTTCCTAGGTGAAGCCATGCTAAAGAAGGGGATGCTCCTCATGGTGGTGACAGTGCGGTTGATGGACAGCGGTGGCAGCCATACTAGTGGTGACCGCGATGGTGGTGAAAAGGGTCATTAGAGTCGTAGCGGTGGTGAGACACTAACGCTGTGATGGCAGTGGCTGGGCTCGCGGCAGGGGTCATGGGTGTGATAATCTAATTGTTCCTGTTCGTTGAGCACCTGCCAGGGCCTGGGCGCTCAGGTAAGCGGCCTYCATGTCGTGATTCTTCACGGAAAGCCCGGAGACAGCAGTTAGGCCGTGTCACAGCCAGGGTGACCAAGGCTCAAAGAAGTTCAATGGCTCGAGAGGGCCAAGCAGCAGGGAAACGTTCAGCCACGTCTTTCTAACCCCAGACCTGGGGTTCTCTCCGCTCAGTGACCCTCTATCTGTCCTCAGCTGAGGTTGGCTGGGGACTCSGCAGCAGCTGGAAGCCCAGCTAGGTGGGGGGGCCCTCCTGGGTGGCCCCTCAGGGAGTTCTTCCTCACATTGAACGGAGGCCTGTTACCCCATAACCCTTACTTCTTTGGTTGGGGGGGGGTTACCAGGGATTAAACTCAGGGACACTCGACCACTGAGCCACATCCCCAGCCCTTTTTTTGTATTTTATTTAGAGAAGGGTCTCACTGAGTTGCTTAGCGCYTCACTAAGTTGCTGAGGCTGGCTTTGAACTCGTGATCCTCCTGCCTCAGCCTCCTGAGCTGCTGGGATTACAGGTGTGCACCACCACACCCAGCTCCCATTAACCCTTACTTCTTCTTTTTTTTATTTTAATATTTTTTTAGTTGTAGACGGACACAATATCTTTATTTTTATGGGACGCTGAGGCTAGAACCCAGGGCCTCATGCGTGTGAGGCAAGGGCTCTACCACTGAGCCCCAGCCCCAGCCGAACCCTTACTTCTTGATCCCAAACCTTAGCCTTTGCCCCTGGACAGCCCATAGAAATTGAAAACAACCAGCCGTGGCTTCCAAATCCCTTCAGGACACGAGTTCCTGGCCTCTCCCCATCCTGCTGCCCTTCCTCAGCAAGATGCCTCCAACAGGATTRATTCTAGAAAAGGGAGACTCATGGAAGTCTCCTCTCTCTTTGACCTTTGACCTCTATTAACACAGCCTGAGATGATATGAGCTTCTGATGCTAGTGATGCCCTGAACGACCGCAGATCACAAACCCGAAGGCACCCCAGGGTCTGCTCCTCTTCTAACCTGTGTGGCGCTGGGCCATTTCTGGGCTGAAGGCTTCCAATTCCCAGGTTCTCAGAGACCCTCTGAGTTGTCACCAGCAAAAAGCAAAGGGTTTCTCCCGCCAGTGTCTGGTGGTCCTCTCTGAACATCAGATTTAAGGACRGTAGTTATCAGCGGTTCCTTGTTCCTCCGCTACAGGGGGCCGTGTGGGTTCCCAGGTCAAACCAGTTTGGGACACACAGGGAGAAACGGGCCCTTCCCTGCAGGTCTTCTCAGAGCYGTGGGGAATGTTTGTAATGAACTTTGTGAATCTCCACCCCCCTCAAAATCGTGYCTTCCACAGTGTTCCCTAATTTCTTCAATCGAATGTTTAATGACACATGTGACAGACAAATATACTCTCCTTGAAAACAGAGAATCACAGATGACAGCTAGAGCCACAGCACCCACTGCCCCATGCTCCCCCCCACCCCGCTTGAAATGCCCCAGCCCCCAGAGGAATCCGCGGTTGTCAGTGTGGAGTGGACCCTTGCAAAACTTTTAGCATAAATTTACACTCACACGTCTAATGTGAGGCCATGGAAAATATTGAGGATATGTATTGTACTTATCATTCTGTAGAACTAGCTTTTTTTTTTAATCCAATGATGTGTCTCTGAGGTCAAGTTCTATGAATCTTGACCTTCCTCTTCTAAGAGATGCTTAGAGCACCACCATCTGAGTGGCAGATCCCCTTTGAACGGACACTTGGATTTTTTTTCACATACATAATGGAGTCTTTTGTTCATGGGAAATATTAGTGGACCTACAATTTCTTCAAACATTGGAAAACACTGATCTGGAYCAACTCCCTCATGTACATGGAGAGGAAGTGTCAACCCAAGTATGTCCAAAGCAGAGGCCCTAAACTCAAAAAACCTGATTCTTTGTGTTGACTCTGCCTCTGATGTGCTGTGTGGTCTTGGGCATGTTCTCTGACCTCTCTGGGCCTCCTCCCATAACACATAGGACTTAGGATAGGATGGGTATCCATTTTTCCCCCCTGTGGAGCTGGGGATGGAACCCAGGGCCCCATGCATTCTAGGCAAGTGCCGTACCCCTGAGCTACACCCAGCCTCTTTAAAACACACAACTTTCATGGCTTCTTGCACATTCTCAGATTCATTTTCCTCTCTCTCTTCTTCCTTCCAGGGGCCTAACTACAATGGCAACCCCCCAGGGTTTGTGGAGGGTGAGTATCTGGCAACCAGGGTCAGTGGAGTGGGGTGCTATGGAGAGGGTTAGGTCAAGTTCTCAGTCCAGTTTGAGTCAAAAATCCCAGAGGTCAAAAACATCCTGGAACACCCCCTGAAGCGCCCTGAGACTCTGGCCCAGGCCCTGGCGCTCCTGTCACACTGTCCAGGGACACGAGCAAAACACTGTTCCCTCTCCACCCCGAACCCTGCCGCGTGGCAGGAGCCTGCTCCTGCTGGGACAGCAGAGCCGAGGTCCAGGGCCRGGGCCGGACCCCCGCGCCTCACCTTCCTGCGCCTCTCCCTCCAGCAGGCTCTGAGGACACTGTTGTGGTCGCCCTGTACGATTACGAGGCCATTCACCGTGAAGACCTCAGCTTCCAGAAGGGGGACCAGATGGTGGTCCTGGAGGAGTGAGTGCCCACCCTGTGCCCAGCTCGCCCACCTCAGTACTGCATTCGACCCTTGTCTTCAGGGAAGGCCCGATAGGCTGGCTCAGGAGTAGATGGCTGTGGTCCCAACAGAGGAGACGGAAGGGTGGCTGTCACCCTGATGGGGGCCACTGTAAAGGGGACCTAGCAATGGCACAGCCCAGGCAGAGGGGAGCAGGCAGAGGTCTCTGAGTTCCCTGGCTCCATCCCCTTCAGCTGTGGGGAGAGCACCAGCCAGTGCTGGGCCCAYGRGGGAGCAGGGCTTGCTCAGCCACACCCTCTGGGCCCAGCAGAGCCCCTGTGAGTCCCCATGGGCACCAGGCCCTGCCTTGGGCCAGCTACAGGGCCAGTGAGGGCGAGCAGGGCAAAGACCCAKTCCACGGGTCAGGGACAGGCTTGAGCCTCGCGCTCAGTGGGGACTGAGTCCATATGGCGTTGTGTTGCTCAGGACAATCTTGGCTCAGCCCTCTTCATCGGATTGACCTCCTGGGGCTGGGGGACTCTCTAGGCCAAGTTGGGGTGACCTGAAGGGCCTGGAGAAAGGTCCCTCTGCTCCCTGACTCCCCCSGTCTTTCTTGTCCCTCAGGGCTGGGGAGTGGTGGAGGGCGCGATCTCTGGCCACCAGGAAAGAGGGCTACATCCCAAGCAACTATGTGGCCCGCGTGAATTCYCTGGAGACGGAGGAGTAAGTATCCCATTTCTTGCTTCCAGAAGGRAGTGTGATGGCCTCAGGCCCTTTGCACACACTGTCTCCTGTTGGCACGCTCTCCCCAGGCTCCTGGCTSGGCTGGCTTCCCACCCTTCAGATCTCAGGGAGCCTTTGGCTGGCCACCCATCTAAGGCTGGTCCGCTCTGCAACTCTCACTCCTGTGAGCCTGTTTTACCCCCACAGAACACCTCCTGCTAGCAGAAAACTGATCTCRTTTCTTTGGTTATTCACCTGTGCATCGTGCACCTTCCCTGCAAGGATAAGCGCTGGCACTGTGCTCTCGAGTTAGACTGCTGGGATTTGAACACCCCCTCTACAATTTCCAAGTTTTGAGACCCCAGACAAGTTGCCTGCCCCTCTGTTTTTTAGTTTCCTCACCTATAAAATCAGAATAAGAAAGGTRATAATTCCATAGAGTTGTTGGGTGGATAAGAAGAACTCAATGAATACTAGCTATCTTTCTCCCCGGCTGATAACAGAGGAAACAGTGGCCCAGAGAAGGAAAACAACTGGCTTAAAGTCACACAGGGTTTGTGGCAGGGCCAAGGCCACCTGACATCTGTTCTGAGGCTTTTTTTTTTCTTTTTCTTTTGGTACCGGGGATTGAACCAGGGTGCCTAACCACTGAGCCACATCCCCAGCCCTATTTTGCATTTTATTTAGAGACAGGGTCTCACTGAGTTGCTTAGGGCCTGGCTAAATTGCTGGGGCTGGCTTTGAACTCACTCTCCTCCTCCCTCAGCCTCCCACGTTGCTGGGATGACAGGCCTGCGCCACTGTGCSYGGCTTTTCCTATCATCCCTGTGAGGGTGGGGATGGATTCAACTGGGGCTACTTGAACTTTTCTACCCAACATTCCAAATATTCAGGAAGAATGAAGAAAAGTTCCTAGGATATGATCCCAATTATAAAATTCTTTTCAATCTCACGTTCAAGCCTAGGGATTCATACCAACTGTATTTTCAGGAATGCAGAGGAAGATTGGCAGGAAAGCCAGGGCGGTTCAAGCCCTCACTCCACAGACCCCGGGGCCCTGAGAGGGAGCCTCCCGGGGTCACCTGTGCTTGTGAAATTGCAAAATTAAGATGCTTGTCCACAGCTGGCTAGGACAGTTGTCCCTRTTTGGGTCCTCCTATCCATCTCCCGGTCTTTCCGACTGAGTGGCCCTGGAAAGACCATTTTGCATTTGTAACACGGCTTTATTTTTTGAAGTCCCTCCCCCAAGTCCCCTAGGCTTCAATCTCAGCAATCTGGATTTGCCTCTGGCAAAACATCTGTTTGGACATCAAAAGGTGATTGTTTTCTCCAAAATCTCAGAGTCAAATGATGCTGCAGGAAGCCAGCCTGCAGCCTCCCCGTGGTCCTCCACTGAGCCCCGCGGGCCCCCGGGGCTCTGCGTGAGCTGGACAGACCGCGCCCCGCTCACCACCTCCCTTTCCCTCAGGTGGTTCTTCAAGGGCATCAGCCGGAAGGACGCAGAGCGCCACCTCCTGGCTCCCGGGAACGTGCTGGGCTCCTTCATGATCCGGGACAGCGAGACCACAAAAGGTGACGCCAGCCCTCCCCACCTTGTCCCGTGCTTCAGGCGSGATGCCTCCACCCCACCCTCCGAGCGCGCTCCGTGGAGGGTGGAGCGACCCACCCAGGTGGCCAGGCAGCCGGTTCTCTCCTGCCCTCTGCCGCTCTGAACCCGGCAGGTCCAAGCTCTGTGCCCGGTTGGCCCAGGAGGCCAGGCCCCCAGCTCAGCTCGGGAGGCAGCCGTGTGGCTCCGGATCCATCCAGCCAACACGCTCCAGATCCATCCAGCCAACACCTGGAAACTGGTCTTCGCTAGCTTGTATTCCCCCCTGTACCTGGAAGAASCCAGGGGCCTCTACCCTGAGCCACACCCCAGCCCTCTCTAWTTTTCATTTTGAGACATTCCTCTARGTTGTCCTGGCTGGTCTTGAACTTGAGATCCTCCTGCCTCACCCTCCCGACAGACTGGGAGTATAGGTGTGAACGATCACATCCTGCTACTAGCTTTTATTTGTTAATTTATTTATTTGTGCCAGGGATTGAACCCAGAGGTGCTTCACCACGGAGCTCTGTCCTCAGCCCTTTTTATATTTCTTAGAGACAAGGTCTCACTAGGTTATTTAGGGCCTTGCTAAGTTGCTGAGGCTGGCTTTGAACTTCCAATCCTCCTGCCTCAGCCTCCCGGGTTGCTGGGATTACAGGCGTGTGCCTTTGTGCCCAACTTGGCTTTTATTATTATTTTGTAAATCACCATATACCTCGTCCAGAAGCCTAATTTCTCCCTCTATAAGGAAACCGGGTAGGGTGAGGCCGTGGGAAGACCCAAGCGGGCCTCCTCTGGACTCTGCCTGAAATGCTCCTGGGAGGAGATGTTTGGAGGTTCTGTTGCCTGGAGCAGCCTCCTGAAGTCCCTGTACCCTGAAGGGGACATCTTGCTCAGTGGTGATGGGAGGGCGGGAACAATGCCTGAAAACCTTGTGTGACAACCTGGCCTCACAGGCTACTTTCCCTGGGGGATGGGCGACTTTACAGGCTACTTTCCCTGGGGGATGGGCGACTTTACGTTAAGCCTCTGTAGTGTGGTTTCCTTGCTGCTGATTCACATAAACCAAGCAAGTTGTAGAAAGTGGGACCTCACGGGACCCTAAAGCAAACCCTTCTGGGAACATTGATCAAAGCATCATTGTGGCCAACTGTGACTCRGACAGTGTCACTCACGGTCAGTGTTTCAGGTCAGAGATTGTTTATTGTCTYCCACCCAATAAGCCCCTTTCGAGGCCCCAGGGGGAAATGAACAGAGACCAAAAGAAAGACCAGGCTTCCTGTCGCCCAGCAGCTCTCCTCTCTGGTGTGCCCAGGACAGCTTGGGGACTGGGCTGGTCCATGCTGCAGTCAGGGACAGAGCAATCAAACAGAGTCTCACAGGCCAGTGGGGGCAGGAGCGCAACCCTTGTCCAGCCCTCACAGCCTCCATGGCAGGGGCATGACAGCTGAGCCACCATAACAAAACTTTGCAGCAGGAGGCCCCTGAATACCATTCTGCTGGCTTTGGGGATTCTTCCCACCCTGTGGGGCATGAGTCAAGCCAGCCTCATCTGGACTGGGACAGAGTGACTAAGAGGGAGCCAGTTGCTTGGGTTTGAATCCTRGCCATGCCACTTACCAGCTGTGTGGCTTTAGGGGAGTTACTTCACCCCTCTGGGCCCCAATCTCTTCATCTATAAATCAAGGCTGGTAATATTATAAAACCTCTACCTCCTGGGGTTATTCATGATTGTAAATAATGTCATTAATATAATTATAATTCATTATAATACATATTATTCCTTTTCATTCATCGTTTATTTGTACAGGGCACTTAGAACAGCTCCCGGCATGTACGGTCAGCAGTTAGTCATTCAACAGTTTAGCTGGGCTGGGCTCAGTGGCAGGTGCCTGCCTTAGCATGCACAAGGCACTGGTTTCGATCCCCAACACCTCCAAAAGTAAAGATCGATCCAAAACAAACTTCCCCCAATCCTATGAGGAAGGTGGAAGACGAGGGCACCAGCTCGCAGATGGCAGACTGTGGTCATGGACTCCGAGACTTGTGTGTTTCTGGTCCAGGTGATCACAGTGCAGCAGGTTCCCATGTTGCTGTTACAGACTCAGTGGCTCAGACCCTCGTAAACTTGTTACAGTTCCCAGGGTCAGAAGTCTGACCTCACTGGATTCAGGACACGGCGTCAGCAGGCTGGTCCCTCCTGGAGGCTCTCCCTGCCTGGCTCTGGAAGCCATCAGCATTCCCTGGTTCTTGGCCCTTCCTGACGTCTCTCCAACCCGTTATTTCCACCTTTACACCTCCTGCTGCTGACCTTGACCTTCTCAGCGTCCCCTGCTCGGGACCTGTGTTTACCCTGGGGCTCCCTGGATAGTCCAGGATAATGGCCCTCGCTCCAGATCCTGAGTGTAAAGTCCCCTATACCATGTAAGGTGGCCCGTTCCCAGGTTCCAGGTATGAACATCTTGGGGACCCCTGCTCAGCCTAGCCTGCCACCATGTGGTCACATGTCAGTAATCGGATCTTCTGTGTGATTTGTCCTTTTATCTGTTTGTTTCTGCATAGTCTGGCTTGTTGTTTTTTGTTTTTTGGTACCAGGGATTGAATCCAGTGGCACTTAACCACCGAGCCACACTCCYTAGCCTTTTTAATATTTTATTTAGAGTTAGGGTCTCACTGAGTTGCTTATGGTCTTGCTAAGTTGCTGAGACTGGCTTTGAACTCACGATCCTCCTGCCTCAGCCTCCCGAGCTGCTGGGTTTCCTGGGGTGCACTACTGTACCCGGCACGCCTTGACTTTTTGTTTCATAGATTGATGTAAGTGGTACATAAATACCATAAATACTGAGGGTGATGATGACAGGGACCATTTATGGAGTGTTTGTTCTGAGTACTTTACAAGCATCACTTCTTTTGATGGCCAGGCAGTGCGATGAGGGAGGGAGGTGTGTTCCCATTTCACAACTGAGGAAACTGAGGCACAGAGAGTCGATACAGTCTCCTCGTGCCCAAAGTGTCACGGCTGGACATGGCAGAACCAGGGTGAGAACCSGGAAGCATGATGCCACAGCCCACTCTGCCCTCTTGTGCTCCTGCCCGGGTGCCAGGGTGGAGTCAGTAGCAGCTTTTCGGAGGTGTCGGGTGCAGACYGGAGATGGCAGGTCCCGGAGGTGCCGTCCTGAGGGGTTTCTCTCTGGCCATCGCAGGGAGCTACTCTCTGTCGGTGCGAGACTACGAGCCCCACCAAGGAGACACGGTGAAGCACTATAAGATCCGGACCCTGGACAATGGGGGCTTCTACATTTCCCCGAGGAGCACCTTCAGCAACCTGCAGGATCTGGTGGCCCACTATAAGAGTGAGTCAGGCCTCGGGCCACAGGCTACCCTGCAGAGCCCACACCCCTTGGTCTTTAGTTTTCAACATCTTTGTGGTCTTTTTTGGGGGAAGGGGTACTGGGGATGGAACCCAGGGACCTCGACCACTGAGCCCCAGCCCTATTTTGTATTTTATTTAGAGACAGGGTCTCACTGAGTTGCTTAGCTCCTCGCTTTTGCTGAGGCTGGCTTTGAACTGGAGATCCTCCTGCCTCAGCCTCCTGAGCTGCTGGGATGACAGGCGTGCACCACCGCGCCCGCAACACTTCTGTTTTATTAGTTTTGCTTTGTGGGGCTGGGGGTGGAAGTCTGGGCCTCACTCACGCTGGGCAGATGCTCTGCCTCTGAGCTGCACCCCCAGCCTTCAGACGTCCCACCACGATGGGCCTGTCCCCGGAATCCCAACCTCTGGGTGCACTTTCTGACCCTCCCCAGACAAAAGGTTGCTTTGGATTCTCCTGAAGCCTTGGGSGTGTTGGGCAAGCGGGTGGGAGAGGTGTAAAAGTGGCATCCTGCCCTGCTCTGCTCTCTGGGGGACATCCCTGTTGGTGACAGGCAGGTRGGACATCGGCCAGAACACTGCCAGGAGGGCTCTGAGGGGAAGCTACTGYAGGCTCGGAGCTTGCTGTCCTCGACTGACCGGGGGACTCTATTCCAGAGGGGAAGGACGGGCTCTGCCAGAAGCTGTCAGTGCCCTGTGTGTCCCCCAAGCCCCAGAAGCCGTGGGAGAAAGACGCCTGGGAGATCCCTCGGGAGTCCCTCCAGCTGGAGAAGAAGCTGGGCGCTGGGCAGTTCGGGGAAGTCTGGATGGGTAAGGACCCAGAGACCACAGCTCCAGAGGGAGGGCCAGAGGGGACAGTATGGCTTCCAGGAACTCCCCCGCCCAGGGACCGGGATTTGAACAAGAGTCATCAGGGGGATTCCTCTGATAGCGAACCAAATGCCCCTGCGGTCCACACGGTCCACGCGCTGGTCTGCCTCTGACGTCCAGCCTGCTGGGATCGGAAGCTTCCCTCAGGGAAGTGGGAGTCCTAGATGAGGAGTGCCCTGGTGGAGACGGTCTGCCATTTGGGTTCACGGACCCAGAGGCCCTGGGGATGGTGAAGGGGAACAGTGGGGAACCGAGCTTGGACCTTCCAGGTGAGCTCAGGGCTGGCACCAAGGACAAGCTGTTCTGAGCCCCTGTCCTGTGCCCAGCAGCTCGGCAGACATTGTGTGCGCGGAAAGGCACCTTCCGCCCCACTGTGGGCCGCSGGGTGGACACGACTTTTGGCCCAGCGCCCCGTGCGCCCCGTGCGCCCCACTGTGCGGATTCTCCACCGCAGGGGTGCAGACAGCCGTGGAGAGGCCATCGGTTCCTCCGGGTGCTGTGAGCGGAAGAGCCACACACTTCAAGAACATTGATTGAGCGTATTCCAGGCACTGAATCAGAAGAATGAGGCAAAAGGGAAATACGGAGAGGAACGTGGGACGGATCAGAGTAGAGCGGCCCCAGACCTCCCTCTAGGAGGCCCCAGATCTGCGCTAGAGCTTCCTGAAGCCAAGGCCTAGAGGAGACCAAAGCGATCAGGAAGTCAACAAGCAGGGTCTGAGTCCCTGGGGTGGGATAGGGGCGGTGCCCAAGGGACTGAGTGGCACTCGGGGTGATTCATGTATAGGCAGCCAGAGTAAGTGTGGTAGAGGACGRGGCTGGAGAGGTGGGCCCGCCACATCAGGTGCATAATGAGTCTGCAGTTTATTTCAAGAACAGTGTTAAGATTGAGGTGAGATGTATGGCGGGGTGTGGTAATTTAAGTGGTGTTTGAGGATCATTTTTTAACCTTGTGACAGACCCTCAGAAAGAATGGTTATCATTTCCACTTTGCAGATGAGGAAACCATAGCTCAGAGAGGTTAAGTGACTTGCTCCAGTACACACAGCAGGGAAGCAGCAAACCAGCCTTCTAGCCCATACCTGTCTGAGCCCAAAGCTGTGCCCTCCCTCCCTGTCTAAGGGCTGGGAGGGCAGGAAAGACTTTCTGGAGGAGGCTGGTCTGCAGTTGGTCTACCCAGGATGAGGGAAGGCCTGTGGGTTCCAACCACCTTCCCTGCTCCGTGTCCCCCTTCAGCCACCTACAACAAGCACACCAAGGTGGCRGTGAAGACGATGAAGCCGGGGAGTATGTCGGTGGAGGCCTTCCTGGCCGAGGCCAACCTGATGAAGACGCTGCAGCATGACAAGCTGGTGAAGCTGCACGCGGTGGTCACCCAGGAGCCCATCTTCATCGTCACGGAGTTCATGGCCAAAGGTGCGCCTGCTGGGGCCGGGGGCGGGGCTGCCAGCTGCCGCCCATTCTGGGAACCGCAGAGGCGAAGGTGGCCGCACGTCTGGCCAGGAGTCCTGACAACAAGCACCCAGCGGGCACCAGCCAGCCAGCCCTCCTGGATCATGGGGTCACCTTGGGAAAGGGAGAACCTGGGCCACCGGGAGAGGGATGTGGCCGGAATTCCCTGAGCAATGAGGCGAGAGGCACGTGGGTCCCTGGTGGGCTCACCGGGGGGCCTCAGAGACCAGGGTGACTCCTTTCTTCCTCAGCCCCTGTCGCTGGGCCCCCGGTGCTGTGCAGAAAAGAGCAGAACAAAACCAGCTGGAGGCCACCCCACCTTGTGACAATTCAGCATTTCCCAGGGCTGTTTCTTAGGTCGCCATTTCCTGACCATTTTCCATCCCTGCCCATTTGAGGATCAACAAAAACTTTTTTTWAATTTTTTTTAATATTTATTTTTTAGTTTTAGGTGGACACAATATCTTTATTTTACTTTTTATGTGGTGCCAAGGATCAAACCCAGTGCCTCATGCATGCCAGGCAAGCGCACTACCACTTGAGCCCCAGCCCCAGCCCAACAGAAACGTTTTACACAACCTGTTTGTGCTTTGAAATCACAAAACTCCACTTTCTAAATATTCAATTATGCCAGTTTGTTTATCAAACTCGACCCCAGGTGCCCAGGCTCCGAGGGTCGTCTCAACCAGAGGGCCCCTCTGGCAACCAGAAAGTCCTTTCAGAAAAACTCAGGTTCTAGTCCTCAAAGGAGAGGCGTGGTAAGCAAGTGCGTTTATAAAATCCATGCTCCGGCTGAGGCTGGGGCTCAGGGGTAGGGTGCCTGCCCAGGTGTGCAAGACCCTGGGTTCAATCGMAAGTACCGCAAATAAATACATAAGCCCATGGCTGTGGCCAGACATGGTGATGAGCATCTCTAGTCCCAGCTGCTCAAGAGGCTGGGGCAGGAAGAGCACTTAGCCCAGGAATTCCAAACCAGTCTGGGCAACACAGTGAGTCCCAGTTAAAAAAAAAAAAAAAAAAACGGGCGTGGTAGCTCACGCCTATAATCCCAGTGGCTCAGGAGGCTGAGGCAGGAGGATTGTGAGTTCAAAGCCAGCCTCAGCTAAAGCGAGGCGCTAAGCAACTCAGTGAGACCTTGTGTCTAAATAAAATTCAAAATAGGGCTGGGGAGGTGGCTCAGGGATTGAGTGCCCCTGAGTTCAATCCCTGGTAGCTCCACCAAAAAAAAAAAAAAAAAAAAATCCATTGCAATAAAAATATTTTAACCATCCACTAAATAGTAAGAATAGTAAATGTCCCTCTTCCCTCCCCAATGCAGGAAGCCTGCTGGACTTTTTGAAAAGTGGAGAAGGCAGCAAGCAGCCCTTGCCAAAACTCATCGACTTCTCAGCCCAGGTAAGAGCTTCATGGTGAGGCTGTGAGGAAAGGGACAGGAATACAGTTATTGATTCAATAAGTAGTTATTGAACACATACTGTGATCAGAGCGTGAACAAAACGCAATGGTTAGCAACTGTGGTGGCGCGCCTCTGTAATCCCAGTGGCTCAGGAGGCTGGGGCAGGAGGATCTCAAATTCAAAGCCAGCCTCAACAACTTTGTAAGGCCCTAAGCAACTCAGTGAGACCCTGGCTCTAAATAAAATATATTTTTTAAAAGGCTGGAGATTTGGCTCAGTGCTTAAGCACCCCTGAGTTCAATCCCTGATACAAAAAAAAAAAAAAAAAGTAATAGTTATTAACTGCCCAGTATAAAAAAAACAATCCACCTTCAGGGGCTGGGGTTGTGGCTCAGTGGTAGAGTGCTCACCTCGAAGGTGGAAGGCACTRAGTTCGATCCTCAGCACCACATAAAAATAAATAAACAAAATAAAGGTATGTGTGCATCTTCCCCAGCCTGGGTGTTTGTCACTTCTACCTTGTCCCATGGTCTTTGCTATCTGTGGGAAAACCAGGAGGACAAGGGGCTGGGGGATTGCACAGCCAAGCAGTCAGCCTGGTCCAGGAGCAATCAGAGAGGGCTTCCCAGAGGAAGCAGCCTGGAGGCTGTTGTGAAAGACAAGTTCTACCGAGGCAGAGGAAGGGCAGGGTGTTCTAGACAGAGGAAACAAACACCCAAAGGAGAAACAAAGGAGCAGCTGGACCTGGGGCTGGGCTTTCTGGAGACTTCCCAGGGCAGAACTCATTTGCATATGCAAATATCAAGGACCCCAAGTGCACTGACAAGGTCTAACAAAAGGCTCTGTTTTCAGAGCCTGGAAACCAAGGGTATATGGAAATCAAGGCCTGGTATTTTCACTGGGATGCCCTTAACATCTGGGAAACAATAGTTGGTCTGTTGCTAAATTATAACCATCAAGTAGCAGAAACCTTGCTGGGTAGGGCACAGACTGACAAAAGCTACTCTCCCCGTTTCACAGATGGGAAAACAAAGCAAAGTGGGGAAAGAGGTTCTAGGCCTCAGTACTTCCAGAAGCAGAGGTGACTCTGAGCCCAGGGACAGGAAAGAGCCTTCCTGGGGACCTGGTTTTTACCTCCAGACCTAGAGAAGCAGACGCTGCAGCAGGAGGGTGCCCCGTCCCATTACAACTGGCTGTTGAACTASGAACAACTCTGGGTCTCAGTTTTTCCTTTGTCCCATAAGGGAATTGGACCACAACGGTGGTTGCCAAGTTTGATAACATTGTTTAGCCACAGCTCTGTTAGTGGAATGAAGTTTTCGTTTGGTTTGGTTTGGTACCAGGGATGGAACCCAGGGGCACTTTACCGCTGAGCCACATCCCCAGCCCTTTTAATTTTTTCTTTAGAGACAGGGTCTTGCTAAATTGCTTAGGACCTCACTAAGTTCCTGAGGTTGGCTCTAAATCTGTGATCCTCCTGCCTCAGCTTCCTGAGGGCTGGGATTACAGGTGTGCGCCACTGCACCCAGCGTAGTCAAATGAAGTTCTATACAGTAGTTAAATATATAAAATTATAAGGCAAAAAAGCGCTGCTCTGGTGGAAGCAAGCAGGGAGGAGCCTCATACGTGGCCCTTCTCTCCTCCCCTGATCCCCAGACAAYCTGGAGGTATCCTAGGATTCAGCTTGAAGAGCCCCAGGCTAGCATATCCTTTCCAATTGGTCCAGCTCCAATTCTGTGACTCCCTGATGCTCTTGGAAGCAAACCCAAGTGCCAGTGCCTYGAAGAAATGATCTGTAAGCAAATGGGCTTAGGGTTTTGCATTGATCCCCTTGATCCCACCTCTGCCTGTGCAGCTTTGAGCAAGGTGCTTAACCTCTCTGAGAACTGGGAGCATGGATAGCCATGGTCAAAGAGAAGAGTCTGGCAGACACGATCCTAAGCCCTTGAATGTAGGCTTAGAGAATTAACCTTCACATGACCTCCTGGAGGCAGGTACTGTTATTGTCTCCCTTTATAGAAAAGTGAGGCAGAAGAATGAAGTGATGTCAGCCAGTGGGTACTAAAAAATGGAGACTACCAGCCTTTTGACTGCACCATAGAAAGTACTAGACCAAAAGGTCAGGTGGAGTCAATGAGGAGGACTCTGAGCCCGCCTAATACCTGCCATTAGCCTAATAACTCTTGCTGATGGTTCGTCTTCTTAGAAATTCCCCCACTCCCCATTCCCCACACCTCCCACTCCAAAGAAAATCAGAAACCCTCAAGTTTTTGTTCCCAAATCCAGACCTCAGTTCCCGCTGCCTCGGGTGCCCCCTGCTGTCCATGTCGTGCAGGTGCACCACCCGCTCACCTCAGCCCTTGAGCCCCTGGCCTGGCCTTGGTCTGTCTGGTCAAACCCTTCGCCCTCTACCTTCCCAAAGGGCCTCATCGAATTGTACTCATGCAGCCCTCCAGAGCTCCGGTTTTCTAGGGTTATTTAGAGGCAGTGTATTTTAGGGGCAGTAGATTAGGATTCTTTAACCTGGGTTTGAGGCTGACATTCAGTATTTTCCTACTGGGTGTCCCCTCTGTAAAACAGGGATCATGGTGATTCCCAGCTTGAAGGGACCAGAGGCCAGTTTGTAAACTGTGTTATTTCCTGGGTATCTGAGGATTAATCTTAAGTATTTTCTATCCAAACTCTTAGAGGAAAAATGTCTTTAAGACACAAACGTGTGTCTATCAGAGGCTTCCTGGGCACCTACCGTGAATGCACCCTCCACATGGTCTGTTATTCGCTGGGCAGCTACAACAGTCTAAAAATCTGCATCAAGGTGGGTGCGGTGGTGCAGGCCTGTAATCCCAGTGCTCAGGAGGCAAAGGCAGGAGGATGGCGAGTTCAAAGCCAGCTTCAGCAATTTAGTGAGGCCCTAAACAATTTAGCGAGACCCTGTCTCAAAATGAAATTTGAAAGGGCTGAGGATGTGGCTCAGTGGTTAAGTGCCCCTGGGTTCAATCTATGACACACACACACACACAAAAAAAAAATGTGTGTCAAATCATGCAACTATATTGGCCAAATTATATTGTAACATTGTGTGCATGTGCCAATATGTAACAACAGATCCTGTCATTATCCACAACTATAATACACCAATTTAAAAAAATGAAAAAAATCATGCACACTGCTGCTCAAAGTCTAATATCTCCCTTCGCCATCAGAATAAAATCCAACTTCCTCTCCTGGACTAAAGGCTGTTCGAAACTGGTGGTCTCCTTTCAACTTCAGTTCTCCCAATCTTCGGCTCATCCTCCCTGGCCTCTGTGCTCTTCCACTGTTCCACCAACACCCAGCTCATCCCTGCCTCCAGGCCTTTGCACCTGGTATTTCTGCCTGGAATATTCTTATTTGACACACTTTTTTTTTATTGTCATCATTCTGATCTTTGCTAAAAATTCACCTCCTCCAACCAACTTTCCTGACCACCCAACAAGCCCTCAATACTTCCTGTCCTGTGACCCTGTCTTCTCTGTCCCTTCTGGTACTTATCACCATCCTCAGGAGCTTTGCCCAACTTACCGTCTGGCACCCATAAGACACTCCGTAGATTGTTGTTGAATGAATAAATGAATCTTCTCCTGGAGAAATCATCGCATTGCTTTTTCCTTGAGGACATTTCAAATGCTCTCTGGAAGTTTTGTGATTCTAGAGAAATCCCCCAAATTGAGCAGGCCTTAAGCATCCCCCAGCCTGGGTGGATATGCAGAGAAATGCCAGTCTGAGCCCAGAACCCTTCTGACAAGAGGGGGGTGCTGGCTCAGATGTTCTTCACTTTTCTCCCACTTGGTTAGTCCTTCCCCCCTGCTCTGGTTTAGGGGGGAGAACCTCTTGGGCTGGGCCAGATCCAAGGGTGAGAGTGTCTCCATTTTGGATGCAGATTGCAGAAGGCATGGCCTTCATCGAGCAGAGAAACTACATCCATCGGGACCTCCGAGCCGCCAACATCCTGGTCTCTGCATCCCTGGTGTGTAAGATTGCTGACTTTGGCCTGGCACGGATCATCGAGGACAACGAGTACACGGCTCGGGAAGGTAGGGAATGCCACCTGCAGCCCCACGTGCCCTCTCGGATGGGCTGTGAGTGCCAAGAGGAGATGCCTGCGAGAGTGACGGCAAGGGGCAAATGTCCATATACCCAATATTACCTCTGTGTTACGAAGCTGGTGAGGTCTTGGACTTGAATCTCTCCCAGTGACTTCGAGAGGGAAATTTCAGAGCAGATTGAGAAGCACTGATCAGTTCTAGACTTAGTGAGGCAAGTGCATGTTGAAGTTCAGGGTTAAGAGCAACTTGCTGGCTGGGTATAGTGGTGCATGCCTATAATCCCAGCAGCTTGGGAGGCTGAGGCAAGAGAACTCCTAATTCAAAGCCAGCCCCAGCAAATTAGCAAGGCCCTAAGAAAACATAAAGAGATCCTGTCTCTGGATAAAATATTAAAAAAGGACTGAGGATGTGGCTCAGTGGGAAAGCACCCCTGGGTTCAATCCCTGGTACCAAACCAAACCAAACCAAACAAAAGGCAACTTTATGCACAATAGACAAAAAGGAAGTCTCCCAATGTCCATGAACAGTAGGATGGACACATAAGTTGTGAAATATTCACATAATATAATATAATACCAGGCAGCAATGCAAAGCACATTCCAACACCATGGGCAACCAAATGGATGATTCTTACAGAACGATATCAAATTGAAATAAATCAGACCCCCCAAAAAAGTGYTGATGCTGAATGCTTCTGTCCATACGAAATAAAAAATAAATAAATAAAAAGAAACTCATAATAAAAGTTCATAGCAGCATTATCATAGTTGCCAAAAATGGAAACAGCCTTAATTAATGTTGATCAACTGATTAGCAGATAAACAAAATGTGGCCCGTTCATTCAATGGAATGTTATTTGACCATACAGTGGAATGAAGGATTGAAAGATGCTGCGATATAGGTGAACCTTGGAAACAACATATTAAGTGAAAGCCAGGCACACAGATGCATCTCATATGAAATGTCCAGAACAGGTGCAGTCATAAACACAGAAAGTGACTTTGTGGCTGCCTAGGGCTGGGGTGGAGAGTTGGGAAAAAATGAGGAATGAGTATTATGGAATTTCAGGGGAAGTGTGATGAAAATATTCTAAAAGTGAATATTCTAAAAGTTATTAAGCTGTATATTTTAAATGCATGGAGGCTGTGTCTGCGAATTGTATGTCAATAAAGCTGTTAAAGAAATGGTTTAGGAGGCTAAGGCAGGAGGATCATGAGTTCAAAGCCAGCCTCAGCAACTTAGTGAGGCCCTAAGCAACTCAGCAAGATCTTGTTACTAAATAAAATATAAGAAAGGGATGGGGATGTGGCTCAGTGGTTAAGCGCCCCTGGGTTCTATCCCAGGTACAAAAAAAAAAAAAAAAAAAAAAAAACTGTTAAAGAAAAAAACAGGCAAAATTCATTTCTAGTAACAGAGGTCAGAATAGCGGCTACCTGGAGTAGGGAAGTAGTGATTAGGAAGGAGCAGGGGAGCCTTCTAATGCTTAAAGAGTTCTATACCCTAATCTGATGGTGATTACAAATGTGTGTATTTATTATATGTATGTATAATAATAGTATAATAATATTGTTATAATAATATTTATATATATAAGTGAAATGCATTTATGTATAAATATGCATTATATGTAAAAATGCATTTATATACATATAAATGCATCAAGTTGTACCTTAGAGTTTGTACGCTTTAATCTTATGTTTGTTATGACTTAATAAAAATGTTTAAACCAGTCAAGCGTGGTGACACACACCTGTAATCCCAGCAGATCTGGAGGCTGAGGCAAGAGGATGGCCAGTCCAAAGCCAGCCTCAGTAACTTTAGTGAGACCCTGTCTCAAAATAAAAAAAAAAAAAAAGAAAGAAAAGGCTGGGGATTTTGCTCAGTGGTTAAGCACTCCAATACTAAAAAATAAAGAATAAAATTAAAAAGTTAAATTTTATTTTTAAAAAAAGAAAAGTAGAATGTATAATTTCTAAACCAGGAGAGGATAAGCAGGAAATAAAAACTCTCTAAATCTAAAGGAAGAAAGGGAAGGAGAAACACACACACACACAGAGCAGTTTCTTTTTTTCTTTTTTTTTAATATTTTTTTAGTAGTAGATGGACACAATACCTTTATTTGATTTATTTACTTTTTATGTGATGCTGAAGATTGAAACCAGTGCCTCCTCCATGCGAGGCAAGTGCTCCACCACTGAGCTACAGTCCCAGCCCCAAGAGCACTCCAATCCTCAGTCATAATGCTGGTCTCATCAGATCCAAAGAACATGCAGATGGCTCCCAATTTGTGATGGTTCACCTTATGATTTTTCAACTTTGCAATGGGGCAAAAGCAATCCACATCCAGCAGAAGCATGCTTTGAATTCTGATCTCTTCTCCAGACTAGTGATATGCAGTAGGGCCCTCTCTCACCACGCTGGGCTGCGGCACTGAGCCACTGAGCCCTGGGAACAACCGAGCCTCTGCCGTGTGCCCACACGACTGAGCTAAGAGGGTCAGGAGGTGGGGTGGATTCAATGCACTTTTATTATGGGATTTTCACCTTCACGATGGCTTTATCAGGGTGTAAGCTCATCCTGAGTCAGAAGCATCTGCATCCTACCATCGGTGTCACCACACCCAACTTAGTTAAGAGAAACGCTAACAAAAGGCTGACTGAGCCCCTCCCAGGGCAGGTGGAAGGAAGTGGGGAGCAGGGAGGAGATACCCTGTGACCTCAGAGACTTGAGCCAATGTCCTCCCCTCCCCCATTTCCAGGGCTGAGGGGACCAAGGCCCCCTGAAGTCTCTGTCCCCACACTCTGTGCCCTCTAGGACTCCATTCTTCTGAGCTATAGTTCACTGGGATATCATTTGAATCAACAAGGTGTCCACTCTCTTCTGCCATCTGTCCTGCAGATGGATGTCCCCTGCTTCCACAGCCCTGCGGGGAGCAGCTATTGCCCTGTCCTATTTGTTCCCTCGCCCTAGCAGAGTCTCAGCCCCAACTGCTCTCCAGAGGCCCCTGACTCTGCTSTGTCCACCCCTGCAGGGGCCAAGTTCCCCATCAAGTGGACAGCTCCTGAGGCCATCAACTTCGGCTCCTTCACCATCAAGTCAGACGTCTGGTCCTTTGGAATCCTACTGATGGAAATTGTCACCTATGGCCGGATCCCTTACCCAGGTAGGGAAGGGGGCATCGGCTTGGGACCTGGCCAGGCACCGGGTCCACCTCACTGGCATATTCATTCCCAGTCCTTGATCCTTACCCTCCACCTTCCCTTGCCTTTCCCATCTCTGCTAAAGCACCACCATCTGCCCAATTTTCTAAGCTGGCAGTCTAGGGGCTTCCTCGGCCCTCTCCTCTCTCACCCCTTATCATATCCAAGCAGTCACGGGGTCCTGGCCGTTCAACCGGAAACACGTCCCACGTCTGCCCACCTCTAACAGCCTTACCTGCTCCCAGGCCATGTCACCTTGCTCACCACCGTGGCCTCCCAATCTGTCCTGCTGTTTCTCCCCTCTCTCGCTTATAGACTGTTCTTCAACTGCGACCAAAAAGATTTCTCTAAACTGCAAATCAGATCTCGTGCCTTCTCCAGCCCTAATTCTTTAACGGTCTCCATTATAATTAATACAAACCCTCCTAACGCCTCACCTGGCCAGGCGCCACATGATCTGGCCTCTGCCTCCCTCTCCAGCTTCCTGCTGTCCCTCCCCCCAGTCATCTAAAGTATAGCATGTCTCCCCTGTGATTTCCTTTCATAATATTCTATGCTATATTCATCCATGGCGTCCATCCTAATTGATAACCAGGTATTTGCTTAATATTTTCTCCATCAGATTCTAAGACCATAAGGCCAGAAATCGTAGCTGTATTCCTTTTTTAAAAAAAAAAAAATATATATATATATATATATATATATATATATATATAATTTTTTTAGTTGTAGTTGGACACAATACCTTTATTCCATTCATTTATTTTTATGTGGTGCTGAGGATCGAACCCAGGGCCCTGCACATGCTAGGCAAGTGCTCTACCATTAAGCCACAATCCCAGCCCCTGGCTGTATTCCTTACCAGTGACTCCAGTGCCCACCTCTGTGCTTGACCTATAGTGGGCTTAGTAATGACTTGTCAAATGGATCAATATATCCCCCTGCCTAAGGAAAGTGCCCAACACTCGGTATACAAAGATGTATACCAAGTAGATTGCATGTAGATTGAATGTAGATGCATGTAGATTGCCTGGGACTCGGGGAATACTTGGGATGTCTGTAACTAGAACACTGGGGAGGATCAAGATGGATATAAAGAGTCCCTGACTTTTCACACATACAGCACTGAATTTAAATCCTATCCCCATTAACTAAGACAAACTAATGGAGTGATGCTACTTTTCAAAAGAAGAAAAGATAACTTGCCGATGGAGAGGTTAGGGAAGGAGAATAGAGAATGATTATCCTGGCTTTAATGGAACAGTACAAATTCAAGAGTTGTTTTAGCCTTGTTAAATTGGAGGTGACATATAGACATTCAAGTAAAGATGTCTAAGGGAGCCCTCGAATCCATGAGTTTAAAGTTCAAGATAGAGAGTATAAAATTGGAAGCCAGGTACAGTGGCGCACACTTGTAACCCCAGMAGCTCCAGAGGCTGAGGCAGGGGGATTGCAAGTTTGAGGCCAGCCTCAGCAACTCACCAAGATCCTGCCTCAAAAAGGGCTGAGGATGTAGCAATGATAAAGTACACCTGGGTTCAGTCCCCAGGACCAAAAAAAAAATAAATAAAATCAGGGAATCACAGGCATTTAACAGTTGTTCTAATAAGTAACTAATGTAAACCTAAATTGAACAAGGAAATCGTCCCACTCATAAGATGACCTTGAATCTGGCCATCTGACTTTTGTTTTGTGAGAACACTAGTTATCCAGGCAATGGGTTACAGAGCCCTGTATCCATTTGAATGCATTAGGCAGCAAATAACAAAAATAATAGACAAAGTGTTTCTGAAACAAGAAGCAAGTCATTATTCCCCATTGAAAGAAGTCAGGCCATGGTGGCCGGTTAGTTCAGCAGCCGAACAGCTGTCAGGACGCTGAGTTAGTTGATGGTGTTCCCCATGTGGGTAAGTTCGTTGCTACAGCTCCAAGTATTGCGTCATCTCCCAGTGTCCAAAGGAAGAAAGGAAGGGGTGTGCGCCATGCCTCACTCAATCAGGAAGGAGAACATCTCCTGGAAATCTCCCAATGGACGTCCCCCTCAGCTCCCCTTGTCCTTTCCTGGGTCCCAGGCCCTAGCCACAAGGAAAGCTGGCAAAGGGAGCGTCTGGCTTTCTCAGTGGGAGGGGCTCAGCCTGCAAGGGGAGATGGGGAGCCGTGGTTGTTGGGGTGGCCACAGTATCTGTCCACCCTGGGCTCCCACTTCCCAATCCCTCCCTTTCTAATTCCCCGGCTCCTTCYCAGGAATGTCAAACCCAGAGGTGATCAGGGCGCTGGAGCACGGGTACCGGATGCCTCGACCCGAGCACTGCCCCGAGGAGCTCTACAACATCATGACCCGCTGCTGGAAAAACCGCCCGGAAGAGCGGCCCACCTTCGAGTATATCCAGAGTGTGCTGGATGATTTCTACACGGCCACCGAGAGCCAGTACCAACAACAGCCTTGATGGGCAGGACCAGGCCGGGGCCAGGAGGTGCCCAGGAGGTGTCTCCAACACCAGCCACTGGAGCCCATTCATCCTTCCCATTCCCAGACACCCACCCTCACTGCAGCCACASTCTCCTCATCTGCCAAGTGGATGGGTGGACTGGACAGTCTCTTTTTTACTCTACCAATCCACACTGTGCCATTCTCAGGAGTCTCCCAAGTTGATATTTCTATTGCCTGGGATGATTGAATTCCAATTACAGCTGTGATTTAGAAATGTTTAAAATTATAAAATAAGTATTTAAATAAAAGCTATTGAATAAAAGATATGAATGCCAAGGCCTTTACTGGAAGTTCTGCCCTCCTGTCCTTCCAGTTCCAGAATACCTATTTGCCTTCTTGCTGCAGGCGGAAGGACATTCCTAGAGAGCAGAAGTGTAAAGAAAAGTGACATTCAATGCTCAAAGTTTTCCAACTGCCCTAAAACAATTGCTGGCTGTATTAGTTTCTTATTGCTGCTGTAACAAGTATGGTGACTTCAAACAATGCAAATTTATTATGGTTCCAGAAATCAGAGTTTGAAATGGGTTGTCAGGGCTGCCTTCCTTCTGGAGGACCCAGGGGAAAAATTGTTTCCTTGTCTTTTCTGGCTTCAAGAGGCCACACMTGCCTTGGCTCATGGTTGCTCTGTACATCATTCTGAACTCTGTTTCCATCATCGCTTCCCCTATACCAATTCTGAGTCTCCTGTTTCCCTCTTCAGCGTGTAAGGATCCCTGGAATTACACTGGACTTGCCCAAAAAATACAGAACACTTTTTCCATCTCAAGATCCTTAATCGTATGTGGAAAGTCCCTTTTGCTGTGTAAGTAAGGTAACCTTGTCACTGTCTCTGGGGGTTAGGTCATGAACATCTGCCTATCACACTGGCATCCAGATGCTGGATGAGTGTTGCCTCCCAGGACCAGGTACTGCCAGATGCTAGGAATGATTTCTCATGATCTGACTGTCCTGCCAAGCCATGTTTCTAGCTGAGCTGGTTGGTCTAGATCTCYCCCAGGGTGGGTGCTACCTGAAGCCCTGGCAGCTCCTATGGCCACATGGCCATCGTGATTGTTAAGATGGTATTCATTGTTGCAGGAATCCTAGAGTCTAGAAATGGGGCAGCTGAGAGGTACCTCATACCGTGCTTGGAAAGCTCAGGAAGGTGAGGCCTGAGAATCAAAAGATCAAGGCCAGCTTTGGCAACTRAGCAAGACCACTGTCTCAAAATTTAAAAGCAATAATAATAATAATAAAGGCTGTATCTGTCAGTGGTAGAGCACCCCTGGGTTGAATCCCTATACCACAAAAAGGTGTGGGGGGTRGGGGCAAGAGATCTGAAAACACCTCACCAAAGAAGATATACAGATAGCAATTAAGCATATGAAAGATGCTCCACATCACATGCCATTGGGGAAATGCAAATTAGAATGACAATGACACTCTTATTAGAATGACTAAGATCCAAAACACTGACAATGCCAGATGCTGATGCCATACAGCAATAGGACTCTCACTGCTGGTGGGAAGTCTTTTGAAGACATTGAAGACATCTGGCAATTTCTTAGAAAGCTAAAYTTTCTCTTACCATATGATCCACCATTTGGGCTCCTTGGTGTTTACCCATTTGAATTGAAAATTTATGTCCCACAAAACCTTCGTAGAAATGTTCAGAGAAACTTTATTCATAAATACCATAACTCAGAAGAAATCAAGATATCTTTTGAAGCTGGGTATAGTGGCACAAGCCTGTAATCCCAGTGACTCAGGAGGCTGAGGCAGGAGGATTGGAAGTTTGAGGTCAACCTCAGCAACGTAGCGAGAACTTGTCAAAAAAAAAAAAAAAAAAAAGGACTGAGATGTAACAGCAAAAAGAAAGAAAAAAGATTTCCTTTCATAGGCAAATGGATACATCCATATAATGGAATTTTATTCAGTGTTAAAAAGAAATGAGTTATGAAAAGAGATGGATAAATTTTAAATGCATGTTGCTAGGTAAAAGGAACCAAATTTAAAAGGTCATTTGCTGTAGATTCCAACTATATGACATTCTTAAAAAGTAACACCATGTAGGCTGTAATGAGATTAAGGGTTGCCAGGAGTGTGGAGAAACGGAGGGAGGAATGGATGGGTGAAACACAGGGCATTTGGAGGGCTGTGAAACCTTTCTGTATGATATTACCATGGTGCTTACATATCATCATACAGCTGTCCAAACCCATACAAAATATAGGACGTAAAGAGTGAACCCTATTGTAAAATATGAACTTTAGTAGTATGTCAACACTGGTTCGTCAGTTGTCACAAACACACCACACTAACACAAGATGTTAATAATAATGGAAATCGGGGGCAAATGAAGGGCTATTTTAGAACTGTAATTTCCACTCATTTTTCTGTGTACTTGAAACTATTTACTCCCTTTCTGCTGCTGTAACAGAATACCTGAGACTGGGTAAATGTAAAGAACATAGATTTATTTCTTATGGTTCTAAAAGCTGAGAAGACCAAGGCTGAGGGTCCCTCATCTGGCCAGGGCCTTCTTGGTGCATCATCCCATGGCAGAAGGCAGAAGGGGAACCGAGCACTGTGTGGGGARGGGTGGAGTATCTGTATCATCTGTATCAGGAGCAAAGTCTCATGAGAACTCACCCCTCTCCTCCACGCGTGAGTGCAGAACCTTCATGGCCAAATTGACTCTTAAGTCCCACCTCTCAACACTATGGGATTGAGGACTAATTCAACACACGAACTTTGGAGAACACATTCAAACCATGGCACTGCTCTTAAAAAATTAAGTCTGACAATTACACAAAACRCATGGGAATACTTTTTATGTTACTTGTTCTGAGGGAAAACTGCATGGAATCCTCCCCCGGATGGTGGCTAGGAAAGGCAAGTAAGATGCTCCAATCTGAGGCCAAAACGGCCTGCTTGGCACTGAGCTTCAGCATTCTGTTTCAACCTTCTCCTGTGGTCTGGAATACAACTGCCTCCTTAGTCCCCTAYGTGGGCCCTTAATTTTTGTCACATATCTGTCCCCATTATGGTATATTCTGACATAGGCTCTTAGCAATTTGCACTCTATCTGCATTCCTTCCCTTTTAGTCGATGGCAGTGACTGCTGGTCATCTTCATATCCACGTTTCTCCTTCTAGAGAAACGGAAGAGGTGTGTGTTTGTGTGTGTGTGTGTGTGTGTGTGTGTGTGTGTGTTACTGGGGACTGAACCCAGAGAGCTCTACCACTGAGCTACACCCCCAACCTTTTTTTTTTTTTTTTAATTTTGAGACTAGGTATCACTAAATTGCTGAGGCTAGCCTTGAGCTTTCAATCCCCCTGCCTCAGCCTCCCAAATCACTGGGATTACAGGTGTGGGCCATCACACCCAGCAGGAAATAAAATTATTTCATGAGAGCATAACCTCCTAGAATGAAAGCTACATTTTCCAATCCCTTTTTGCAGCAAAACATGACCCCATCATTAAGTTCTGATAATTATGGTTATAAGTTTAAGTATGTTATAGAAGATTCCAGGATTTTTTTTTTTTTTTGTACTAGGGATTGAACTCAGAGCTTCACTCATGCTAGCTAAGTGCCCTACCACTGAGCCACATCCACAGCTCTCCAGGAACCTTTCTTAAGAGACAACTGGTATAGGCTCTTTGCCCTCATTTCTCATCTCTTCCTCTGCCTTGCTGCCTAGAAAGTGTGTGTGAAGGCTGGAGCTCTAGCTGCCAATTTAGACCCTGAGGAAAATGACAAGTTGGATAGAGCCTAGACCCCTGAGGATGTTTTAGGGTAGCATACCAGCCTGGACAGTCCTCCTCCAGACTTTGACATCAGAGGGTGTGGCATGTGCTCCTATCCCTTAGAGTGGACTGGGCTTTCTGCTGACATTTTTGCATCACTATGCCTGAGGGCTTATATTTCTGGAAACCGCAAAAAGCCTCAGTTGCAGGGGTTCCCAGGAGGCTGAGAGTAGGTAGGAGTTAAGGGCCTGGGGAGCAGTCCTCTATTAGTGACTCTCAGCTCCCTTCCCAGGTAGAATAACTATTATTTCCCAGCATTTCCTCATGGGATCAAGCTTGTTGTTACTGCTATCATTGTGCAGGAAATCCAACCCAGGGCCTCAATCTTGCTAGGCAAGCTGTCTACCACTGAGCTCACTCCCAGCCCCAGGGTTGAGCTTTGGTTGCCCAGAGTGGTAACCTGGTTGACAACATACTTTCTTAGTATAGTTCCTGCATGAATTAAGCTTGATAGTTTCACTTGCATTAATGAATAAGATGAAAGTGAAATAATAAGACCTATCAGAACCAGACTCTTTAATCAATAACAGGAACAACATTGCTGAATAAGGTAGGAGTTTCCAAAGTCACAGTTTTATGCTGGTCACAATATAAGTACCATCTACAATGTGAACAGTTTCTCCATCACTTTACATCTGGACCAGGATTTGGCAAACTTCTCAGGCTGCAGCCAAGCCCATTATGCATGGATTGTAGCAAGATGGCAGCTGAGCAGTCATGACGCAGCCATATGGTTGACAAAGTCTAAACTTTCTACTCTCTGCCTCTTTACAGAAAAGTTTCGCTAACAAAACTAAAATTCAAGCCCTATTTGCAACATTGGCTGCCACTTTCAGGCCATTTTGAAGCAACCAACCAGAGCTGCATTCTGCTTTTCATGGGCCTGAGGGACTTTCGCCTTTATGCAATTCTTCCTGCACAATCATATATTACGGCTTATGTCACCAAAAGAGACTGGGATATGGAAGTCCTTTTGGGAAAAAATACAAAGCACGAAGAGGGGAAACATGGAAATATTGCCATTTATGGAGCTTTGTTCTTTATCAGCCAATCCTCTTTGGGCAGCCAGAAATGGGAAGAAACCTCTAGAACCCAAGCTCCAGAACTGGTTACAAGTTTGGAATCTATTTTTACTGTGACAATGACAAATCCCTCTTGTCTCTCAAGCTTCTTCCCTCTTAGGGATAATATCTGATCTACTACCTTTTAGGATGGTTGTGCAGGTCACCAGTTTCAATGATTTACTACACCATAATAAAGCAATCCCCAAAGCTAAAACAACTAGGCTCAGCTGGACAGTTCTTTTGTTCCTCCTGGTGCTGATGAGGTTATTCATGCAGCTCTATTTAGTTGGTAGCTCAGCTGGGGTTGGAATGTGTGGGCACATGTGTAGTGCTCAGCTGGAGTTTCCAGAATGTCTTGAGGAATTGACTGCCCTCTGTGTCTCTCCACATGGCTCTCCAGCAGGGTAGTCAGACTTCTTTGCACCTATGAGG